AACTGAATTCAGCAAAGTCGCAGGGCCCAAGATCAACACACAAAAATCAGTTGTGTTTCTGAACTCCAGCTGAAAACAATCTGAAAAGGAAACTGAGAAGGCAGCTCCATTTATAATGGCATCTAAAAGAATTAAATACTTGGGAATACACCTAACCAAGGATGTGAAAGACCTACATAATGAAAACTACAAAATGCTGATTAGGAAAATTAAAGAATTTCTAAACAAATGGAAAGGCATCATGTTCATGGATTGGAAGACCTAACACTATTTAGATGTTCGTACCACCCAAAGGGATCTACAGATTCAGTGAGATCCCTATGAAAATTCCAACAACCATTTTTTGCAGAAAATGGAAAAACAGATTCTCCAATTCATATAGGAATTGCAAGGGGCCTCAAATAGCCAAAATAATATTGGAGAAGAAGCAGAAAGCTGGAGGACTCAACATTCTGACTTTGAAACTTACTACAAAGGTAAACAAAGTAGTGTGGTACTGGCATAAGGACAGACACATAGACCAATGGCACAGAACAGAGAAGCCAGAAATAAACCCACACATGTATAATCAATTGATTTTTGACAAGAGTAAAAGGGGAAAGGGCAATCCTTTCAACGGTGCTGGGAAAACTGGATAGCCACATGTAAATAACGAAGTTCGGCCCTTAACTTATACTACATATAAACTTATGCCATATATTAAAATTACCACATATAGAAATAGATGAAAGACCTAAACTTAAGAGCTAATACTATAAAGGTCTTAGAAAAAACACTGGGGAAAATCTTCATGACACTGGATTTGGCAACAATTTCATGGATAGGACACCAAAAATACAGGCAACAAAAGAAAAAATAAATATATTGGATTTATCAAAGGTAAAAACTTTTGTGCCTCCAAGGACACTATAAGGAAAATAAAAAGTCAACTTACAGAATAGAAGAAAACATTTGCAAATTATATATTTGACAAGGGATTGATATCCAGAATATATAAAGATCCCCTACAATTCAACAACAACAACAAAACAAACAACAACAAAAACACGATTGAAAAATGGGCAAAGAATCTAAACAGACATTTCTCCAAAGAAGATATCTGAAAGGCCAACTGGTATATGGAAAGATGTTCAACATCACTAGTCACTAAGAAAATGCAAGTTAAAACCACAATGAGATATCACTTCATACATGTGTTAGAATGGCCACTGCCAAAAAGACAAGGGATTAACGAATGCTGGTGTGGATGTGGAGAAAGGGGAACCCATAGGCACTGTGGATGGGAGTGTAAATTGTGGCAGCTATTATGGAAAATAGTATGGAGGAACATCAAAAAATTAAAAATAGAACTGCCATATGATCCACTTCTGGGAATATATCCAAAGGAAATGAAAACACCAATCTGGAAAGATATCTGCACCCTCATGTTCATTGCAGCATTATTTACAATAGCCAAGACATAGAAACAACCTGAGTGTCTGTCGACAGATGAATGGATAAAGAAGTTGTGGTATCTGTAAATATAGACTGGAATATCATTCATCCGTAAAAAAAACAAGGACATCCCACCACTTGCTACAACACGGATGAACCTCAAAGGCACTATGTTAAGTGAAATAAGTCAGATAGAGAAAGACAAATAGTGTGCGATTTCAATTTATCTGAAGAATCTAAAAACACAAAAACAAAACCACAAAAAAGCAAAACCCAGAAAGAGAGCAGATTTGTGGTCACCAGAAGCAGAGGGTGGGGGGGCAGGGGAGAGGGAACTGGAGGTGGTGGTCAAAAGATACACACTTGCAGTTTTAAGATAAACCTGTCCCAGGTACAATGTGATGACTAGAGCTAACACTCCCACGTGATATACAGGAGATGTGCTAAGAGAGGAGGTTCTAGGAGTTCTTGTCACAGAAACATTTTTTTCCCTTTTTTTCCCCTTCTTTTCTTTTTATTGTATTTTTATGAGAAGATGGATGTTAGCTAAACCTACTGTGATAATCATTGCACAACATATGTAAATCAAACCATCATGGTGTCATGGCTTAAACATATATTCATGTATGTCAATTATTTCTCAATAAAACTGGGAAGGGGGACAGCAAAAAGGGGGTTGGGGAAACAAGATACCACTCCATACCCTATAGGATAACTATTTAAAAAAAGGAGGGGGGATGACAAGTGTTGGCAAGATGTGGAAAAATGGAAACCCTCACACACTGCTGGTGGGAATGTTTAATGGTGCAGCCACTGTGGAAAACAGTTTGGTGGCTCCTCAAAAAAGTTAAACACAGAACTACCGCATGACCCAGCAATTCCGCTCCTAGGTATAGACCCAAAGGAAGGGAAAAAGCAGGGACCTGAATAGCTATTTATACACCAATTTCAGACAGCATTATTCACAATAACCAAAAGGAAACAAGCCAAGCGTTTATCCATACACGAATAGACAAACCTTATTTTGTTTGTAGAATACTATTTGTATTCTTTGTAGAATACTACTAAGAAGGAGTGACATTCTGATACCGGCTACAAGGATGGGCCCTGAAAGCATTACGCTAAGGGAAATAAGCCAGATGCAGAAAGCCAAATACAGGATTCCACTTCTGTAAGGTACCTAGGATAAGCAAAGTCAAAGAAACAGAAAGCAGAATAAAGGCTGCTCGGGGTGGAGGGCGGAGAGGGGTAGGAGGAAAGGAGCAGTTCTTATTTAATGGGTACAGAGTTTATGCTGGGGATTCTGAAAAAGTTTTCGGCATAGACAGTGCTGATGGGCACACAGCTCTGTGAATGTATTTAACGCCAGTGAATCTGTATATTTGCAAATGGGTAAAATAATAAATATTATGTTATGCAGATTTTACTATATCTACGTAATGTGGAGAAAAAAGAGGGGTCAATATAAATACAAAGTGAAAAGATAGGAATGAAATAAACCCAAATGTCAGCAGCTATTCTGAGAAAAGACATCTTTGGGTGGCTTCCTCTTTCTTTTAATCATTTTTCTCTATTTTCCAACTTTCTTTCAATTGCTCTTTGGATGGGAAAAAAAATTGTGTTTTTAACAGGTTTCATGTTTTCAGGTTTTGATACGTACATAATTCATCAGTCTAGATTTTTTCTTTTTTAGGTAGAAAGTTTCTTTGCTTTTGGAGCAGCGTTTACAAAGGATTTACTTCGTAAGGGACCATAAGTAAAGGAAATGGTCATTTAAAATAATCTGGAGTTCTCTGCTGCATGTAGGTGAAAGCTAATGTTCTCTTACAACTCGGCTGGCCCCAAGGATCCTGAACCTGCTGGCTACAACCTGGCAGGGGGGCAAATCCTTTCTAGTAGGAGTTGTTCTCCCTGCCCTCTGGGCACTGAATAAGGACAGAAGAGGTTTCAGGGGGATAATTTCCCCTGGATGTGTGACTAAGTTCATAATTTGACCTTTAAGCAATAAATTAAAATAAGAATAGTAATTTAAAATGCAAGTCAGAATTTGCCTTAAATTTAACCAATCGAAACAGTTAATATTAATTCACCCTTAATAGTATCCCAATCCCTTCGCAGAAGGTCCCGTTTATACAGCAAATGATACTGACATTGTATTGGGTTTTTATGCAGGAGTCCAAAGGACCTGTTCTCCCCTTTCTGACAAGTAAATAAAACGGCAGGGAGATCAAATAACTCACTAAAAAGAAGATATAATTTTTTATCTTCCTTTTTACAGTCTCATATCCACTTCCGTTGGGAATAACAAAGTCTGAATTCTTATGCAACACTTATCTAAATGTGTCGATTTTATCGGATTGATGAATTTTGCTAACAAAAGGCAGCGCTAGGAAATCTTTTATGACATATTTGGCCCATTCACAGGCCTGGAGCTTTAATTTAACCAACTTGAGAATTCTGAGGGAGAGCTGCAGGTGTTAGATCTGAAAAAAAAATCATAAATGGGAAGGCATATCAATCTTTATGACGGGGAAACAAAAACACTCTCTACTTGCTTGCCCTCCACAGGCAGGAGAAGGAGAGGTGGAAGGAGCAGGATATTGTCTCGGGCTGCATAGCAAAGAGGAAGCTTTGCTGTCTCCCAGTGACCGCTATTTAGTATTGATCAAAAGGCGCTGGCCCGCAGAGGAAGAGAGGAATTGATAAAACAATGAGGTTTGCCAACACTCTGTGCTCAACAAGGACATTTTCTCATTTTCTTGACCACATCAGAGTAAGTCACTCCTGCGGCCGCCACCATACTGCCTCTCCCTGTCTGTTCTCCGCTCCCCCGGATCCTTGTCACCACGCCATCCTTCCGCCTGCTGCCAGCCATCTCTGGATGGGAGAAACTTTCAGCCACTTCCTTGCACAAACTCTTTAAGGACTCCCTACCTTCTACAACACAAAATCCTAAAGCCATTGCCATGAAATACTACGAAGGTCCTTTGTGATTTGCCTTTCCCAGTTTCCAATGGCCCCCTTTTGATAACCCAGCTGTAGCTAAGCAGATGGTGAGGGGATCCGTTTCCTGGCCTCTCTGACACCAAGGCATGGGTGACATAAGCAGAGAGGACTGAGTCCTCCCTCACCCACAGAATCTGTGGAAAGGGTGTGTGCCTATTCTAGGTCCGGGAATTCCTGACACTCTGGACCCTCCGGCAAACGTGAACACGGTAGTGCCTGAGCCTGGCTACAGCCTGGCTACGCCACCCCACACTGGAAAGGCAGAAAGATGCAAGGAGCCTGCCTGGGTTTCTGAATGCTGTGCAGAGAAGAACCCCCGCAACAGGTCACGTTAGGAAATTACCTAGAAAATCAACTTCTAAATTTCCTTATGCTTCTGTATTTTTCGGTCTCTTGCAACAGCATCTTCGCCTTTGCCCTTGATGAGAGTAAGTGCCAGGCAAGATCCCACTCACTAGGACCCACAGCTGACACCTGTGTGCCCAATCTGTGTTAATGAGATGAAGTGTGCCCCAGAGCCAGCTTATACAAGCGGACGCTCCATCCAGTAACAAACCTACTTGGTGTTCTCCAGGGTCTTCTGCATTTTCTTGGTCATTTTATCAATCACTGCCTGTCTCTTCCCATCAGCTAAGAGGTCTGTTTTGTTCAGCACCACGATCAGCTTCTGGCAGGCAATCTGCCCAATCACAAGGCACTCTGCTGACTGGGTCTGCATCCCTTTGGTCACATCGATGACCAGCATCATCAGATCAATGATCTGGGCCCCTGCAAGGAGAAAGAGAAGACAAGGTTAGAAAGGGAAATGGGGGAGAGGACTCTCCAGAAAGTGGCCTGATGTTTGAGGTTAAGCAAAATCAGCCAAATTAAAGTATTAAGACAAAAGTGGGTGGGGTGGGAAAGGAACGACCACCACATAGCTCCCAGCCCCGGCTGCAGGGGAGGGACTCTGACCACCCGATTTCACAGAGTCCTCATGACAAACCACCATGAGGGATGGGCGTCTCACCTCATCTGGAGAGGAGGAAACTGAGGTCCATGAGACACAGACAGCTCACCCAGAGCCCCACAGCCAACATGCAGCAGGGCTAGGGAATCCCCAAACCCACCCATTTTACTGCCTCAATCTTCTCATTTTCATTCCATCCTACCAAGGAAAAAATGTCCACGCAGGAAAAATCTCAGTTGTACACTTGGCAAATGCCTAGAAATCTGCCTTGCCAAGACAGCAGATAGAAAGACTAGAAAACTCACGGGGAGGCATGGGGTTTGTCTCCTCTGTGGCTCCTGGGTCTTCCCCACACGGGAGTTGGGTTTAGTTGTGATCCTCCCACCCATGGCTCCGTTATAGATACTCACTTCTTTTGTCCTTTCTGTTCTGGGTGGGAAGCTCCTGCTCTTTCAGGGAGGGTAGGGGCAAGCCAAGGTTCAGCTACCTCAACAGTGAATACCATGTATGTGAGCGCGTGTGTGTATGTGTGTGTGTGTGTTTGTCTATACATATATGTGTGCATGCATGTGTGTGTGTGTGTGTGTAGTGTGTGTGCATTCTACCTGACGTATGCATGCCTGGTTGTGAGCATCCCCTAAATACACAGCCACACCTAAGCTGAACAACAGCAGAGGGACAAATTCCAGAGGAGTCCATGAAGGGAAACTGCCCTGACCCACGCTGGGGAGACTAATGAAGGGGATGTGTCCTTTTAAATAGGATGTGAAGTCGTTTTACCAAAAAAAAAAAGTGCTATTTTGGGTACACAGGAATATGCAGATATTTCCCCCTTCGCCCCAGAAGGGATTTTCAGGACCCAATTATCATCATGGTGATACCGAGGAAGCCTGCTCTATGGGTGACCCATGACCCAAGCTTACCCCTGGGAAAGGAGGGAAGGTGAGGAGAGGCAGTCTTTCCTGTTGGCACATTTACCGTGTGCACTCGTCAACCACCGAGTCTCCACAACCAGTGTTTCAGATGCAGGTGGGACTCAGAATCCCAGGGCGCCTTGCTCTAGACCAACGGGGACCAAAGGCCACCAGACACTAGGGAGCCTAGCTCCGCTACTAAAGCACTCTTTCCTGGTCACCTCTGACCTGTACTGTTCCTCCAGCATCTCCCAGAAGAAAGAATAGGTGTCTCGGCTCTAGGCAAGCCTCAGAGTGTCCCAGCTATCCTTCCCACCCCTTGCTCTGCCCTCACCAGCCCCTTCTCTACCTCATCCTGTCCCAGGGACAGAGCGGAGCTGTGGTCAAAGGGGCCTGGCGGGGCAGGCCAGTGCTCACAGAAGCCAGCACTGGCATCTCCCTTATCCTACCAGGCAGTAGGGCCTAGACCTTGCTACAGCCACGAGGGGGGACAGGGAGATATACTGGTTCCATTACCTACACCTTTTCAACCACTGAGGCCTAAAAACCTCACCTGATAAGACCCCCATTCATATCTACCAAATCTCTGGGCTCCATCTCTATTGTGGCCCCAAACCCCATAATGCACACATCAGGCCTGCATCAACCGCCCCCTAATGGGAAAAACTTGTCCTTCCCCTGGGACTTGTCCCTGTGAAATCCAAACAGCCTCCCAGAAGGAACTTTCTACAACTATATGGCTGATTCATAACACTGAGCCAGGTTCAGTCAGTACCACCTCTACGAAAGTCAATTCGGAAAGAGCCATCAGAATTCACATGGTCTTTGACCGAGCCAACACCACATACATGTTCGTGCTTGTTGTAGGTACAGCTGGGAAACAGGCAAATGTCCATCAGCAGGGGACGTGTAAAAAAAAAAATACTGTTACCTCCATGCAGTAGAATACTATCTGGCCATGAAAAGGAATGGAGAAGCTCTTTATTTACTACTACAGAACAGTCTCAAAGGGGAAGTGAGTGACAAGAACAAACAGCGGAACAATGTCATCTGTGTCAAAAGGTGGGGAAAGGTGTGTATGTGTGCTGTGAGTGATTGCTTCCATAAGCATAAAACATGTCTGAAGGAATGCAAAAGAAACAACTAACTTTTGGTTGTCTGTTGGGAGAAGAGCTAGGTGACAGAGATGGCATGGAGTTAGAAGGAGACCTGACTTCATGTTCTTCTGCACCTTTTTTTTTTTCATGTTCGTCATTTATTTTTTTAATAATTTTTTATTTTTTTATCAACATACAATGTATTATTAGCCCCAGGGGTACAGGTCTGTGAATCGCCAGATTAACACACTTCACAGCACTCACCATAGCACATACCTTCCCCCATGTCCATAACCCAACCACCCCCTCCCTACCCCCCTCCCCACCGCAACCCTCAGTTTGTTTTGTGAGATTAAGAGTCTCTTCTGGTTTAGACATGAACAGACATTTCTGCCAAGAAGACATCCAGATGGCCAACAGACACAAGAAAAAGTGCTCCATATCACTCGGCATCAGGGAAATACAAATCAAAACCACAATGAGATATCACCTCACACCAGTCAGAATGGCTAAAATTAACAAGTCAGGAAATGACAGATGCTGGCGAGGATGTGGAGAAAGGGGAACCCTCCTACACTGTTGGTGGGAATGCAAGCTGGTGCAACCACTCTGGAAAACAGCATGGAGGTTCCTCAAAATGTTGAAAATAGAACTACCCTATGACCCAGCAATTGCACTGCTGGGTATTTACCCTAAAGATACAAATGTAGTGATCCGAAGGGGCACGTGCACCCGAATGTTTATAGCAGCAATGTCTACAATAGACAAACTATGGAAAGAACCTAGATGTCCATCAACAGACGAATGGATAAAGAAGAGGTGGTATACATACACAATGGAATACTATGCAGCCATCAAAAGAAATGAAATCTTGCCATTTGCGACAACGTGGAACTAGAGGGTATCATGCTTAGCGAAATAAGTCAATCGGAGAAAGACAACTATCATATGATCTCCCTGATATGAGGGAGAGGAGATGCAACATGGGGGGGTTAAGGGGGTAGGAAAAGAGTAAATGAAGCAAGATGGGATTGGGAGGGAGACAAACCATAAGTGACTCTTAATCTCACAAAACAAACTGAGGGTTGATGGGGGGGAGGGTGGTTGGGAGAAGGGGGATGGGGTTATGGGCATTGGGGAGGGTATGTGCTATGGTGAGTGCTGTGAAGTGCGTAAACCTGGTGATTCACACACCTGTACCCCTGGGGATAAAAATATATTATATGTTTATTAAAAAAAAAAAAAAGAGTCTCTTCTGGTTTGTCTCCCTCCCGATCTCATCTTGTTTTATTTTTTCCTTCCGTACCCCAAAATCCCCACTTTGCCTCTCCACTTCCTCATATCAGGGAGAGCATATGATAATTATCTTTCTCTGACTGACTTACTTCGCTCAGCATAATACCCTCTAGTTCCATCCACAGTCGTTGCAAATGGCAAGATTTCATTTCTTTTGATGGCTGCATAGTATTCCATTGTATATATACACACCACATCTTCTTTATCCATTCATCTGTTGATGGACATGTAGGTTCTTTCCATAGTTTGGCTATTGTGGACATTGCTGCTATAAACATTCGGGTGCATGTGCCCCTTCGGATCACTACATTTGTATCTTTAGGATAAATACCCAGTAGTGTGATTGCTGAGTCACAGGGTTGCTCTATTTTCAACTTTTTGAGGAACCTCCATGCTGTTTTCCAGAGTGGTTGCAGCAGCTTGCATTCCCACCAACAGTGTAGGAGGGCTCCCCTTTCTCCGCATCCTCGCCAGCATCTGTCATTTTCTGACTTGTTAATTTTGGCCATTCTGACTGGCGTGAGGTGGGTATCTCATTGTGGTTTTCATTTGTACTTCCCTGATGTTGAGTGATATGGAGCACTTTTTCATGTTGTTCTGCACCTTTTTTTGAAGATCTTTTTATTTGAGAGCAAGAGTGTGCATGCACATGAGCGGGGGGAGGGGCAGAAGGACAGAGAGAGAATCTCAAGCAGACTCCCCAAAGAGCATAGAGCCTGACTCAGGATTCGATCTCACAACCCTGAGATCATGACCTGAGTTGATATCCAGAACCAGACGCTTAAATGACGGAGCCACCTAGGTACCCTCTTCCATACCTTTAATTTTTTTTTTAAGTTTATTATTTATTTAAAAGAGAAAGAGACAGCAAGAGAGGGAACACAAGCAGGGAGGAGGGGTAGAGGGAGAAGCAGGCTTCCCACTGAGCGGGAAGCCCAATGGGGGACCTCAATCCCAGGACCCTGAGATCGTGACCTGAGCCAAAGTCAGACACCCACCCGACTAAGCCACCCAGAAGCCCCATATACCTTTAAATTTTAAATAGAGGCATGTACAATCCACTCAGAAATAAACAAAATTATGTAAGTACACAACTAAAGAAAGAAATAAAACACTGATCTGTGCTTTTCCCCTGCTAAGAGCCCTCGCTGTCCTCTTACTGAAAGAGAACGCATGGTGTGACTTTGGGCCCCCCTTCTAACTCGCAGTCCAGGTACACTCTCCCTGCACTGAGCACCATGGTGCACCTCACAGAGGCCTTCCTGGTGCTCCCTGCCCTGCCCCAGGGGCATATGCATACACATGTGAATACACAGAGAGAGAGAGAGAGAGAGAGAGGGCAAGCGAGCCTAGCCCACCCCAGAAGATGTGACCTTTCCTCCCGTCCTCCCACCACAAGCAAATCTGTCACCAGTCACAAGGATGTGTGGCCAGGTATTGAGGGAGGGTGGGACAAAGCATGCAGGTGAGTGGGAGAAGGAAAGCCCTGGGTTCCCAGCCTGTGAGCCATTC